GGCTCCCCCCGGACAGCGGTTGGGATGGTCGCCGGGCCGCTGGTTACCTGGCGCGGCCTCGGGCTGAGGTGTCTGCGGCACTGTGCTCTCCGGAGCAGAGCACGGAAACCTTGCTCCTTCGTTTTGTTGTTCCACATGGGGGGTAACGGTTCCTGCCAATCCGTGGAGACTTAGGTGGGAATGGGGTAGTGGAGGCTACGGCTGTAGTGAAATGGGTGCTTGGATAGATCCTTTCCTAGCCTTGTTCGGTTCGTGTTGCATCGCTTTTAAAAAACACTTCGACTTTAAGCTACTTTTAAATACTACACTGTAAACTGCACTACTCCTGATGCCGAATGCTGCAGGAGCTCATAGAGGACAGAACAGATGACTTATGTCATTTAATCAAACGAGACAAAATAGTCTCCCAACGTTCAACTATCCGTAAAACACACAAGTTTTATTAGGTGCAGACTGCTGAGTGATTGGAAATGGCCAGTTGAGAATAATGGTGAACTTAAATTCAGCTTTGGGATTTCTTAGTCCTTGCTTGATTAACTAATAGAAGTGCTTCTGTTGGTTATGTTGACCCATTAATATCAATATTTGCAACTACAATACTTTGTACATGCTTAGCACATATGTAAGAGTCTGTGCTTTTAGTGGATTCTGTCCAAAAGAGGTGTTCTGATTTGTAGACATGCTAATTTAACTAACAGACATGCCTTAATGGTCTTAATCATTGTTCCTCCATTAATACAGAAACTTTGTAAAATCCTGAGCTGACAGAAACCAACTAAATGAACTGTGGGTTGTTTTATCTACAGAGTGAAAAAAATGGAGCTGTGAAGAAGAGAAGATCACATCAGGCAGATATTCCTGGCAGTCTTTGTCAAGAAGCAGAAACATGCTATCGACTTAGACTGCCTGAAGACTTTTACCAGTTCTGGAAGTTCTGTGAGGAACTAGACTCTGAGAAACCAAGTGGTGAGGCTTTAAATTTTGTGTTTCTGACTTTTGCTCTCAGGAGCAGCCTGAAGGCAAGCAGACTAGAGGTGGTCAGATGCATTCTAATGCAGCTTCAGCTTTCAGTTAAGCTGCAGGAGGTTTACCTGAGTGTAAACAGGAATACTGGATATAATCATGAAGATGTACACTTCAAGTTCCCTATAACAGGATTAATTAAGTTGTGCAGTATGAAGGCATTAAATAATGTCTAAATCTGCCTTTCTTGCAGGTGTATTTAAAATGTTTAGTATGGAACTCAAATTTCCTCATATATTGTGTTTTAACTCCAGCCAACAACTAAGCACCACACAGCCACTTGCTCACTCCCTCTCTGAGGGATGGGGTAGAGAATCAGAAGGGTGAAAGTATGAAAACATGTGGGTTGAGATAAAGACAGTTTAATAGGGAAAGCAAAGGCCATGTGAACAAGCAAACCAAAGCAAGGAATTCATTCACCACTTCCCATAGGCAAGTGTTCAGCCATCTCCAGGAGAGCAAAGCCCCATCACATGTAACAGTTACTTGGGAAGACAAACACCATCACTCCAAATGAGCCCCCACTTCCTTCTTCCCCCTAGTTTATATGCTGAGCATGTGTGCTGGTTTTGGCTGGGGGAGAGTTAACTTTCTTCACAGTGGCTAGTGTGGGGCTATGTTTGGGATTTCTGCAGAACACAGGGTTGATAATGCAGATATGTTTTTATTATTGCTGAGCAGAGCTTGCACAGGGCCAAGGCCTCTTCTACTTTTCATACTGCCACACTGGCAAGGAAGTTGTGAGTGCATGGTAGTTTAGGAGTAGACACAGGTGGGACAGGTGACCCAGATTGACCAAAGGGATATTCCACACCATATGACATCATGCTCAGTATGTAAAGTGAGGGGAGGAAGGAGGGATGTCTGGAGTGATGGTGTTTGTCTTCCTAAGTAACCATTACACATGATGGGGCCCTATGTTCCTGAAGATGGCTGAATCTGCCATCCCATGCCTGCCCACAGGAAGAAGTGAATTAATTACTTGGTTTGCTTTGCTTGTGTGCATGGATTTTGCTTTCCCTATTAAACTGTCTTTATCTCAACCCACGACTTTTCTAGCTTCTACCCTTCTAATTACTCACTCCCCCTCCATTAGATTCAGGGAGAGAAGTGGCTGCATTGTGCTTGGTTGCTGGCTGGGGTTAAACTATGATGCCATAGGGCATGGAATATCCCTTTGGTCACTTGGGGTCAGGTGTCCTGGCTGCATTCCCTGTCAGCTTCTTGTGTACCCACAGCCTCCTCACTGGTGGGGTGAGAGGCAGAGAAAGCCTTAACTCAGTTTAAGCACTACTAAATCTGGATTTCAGCCTCCTCAAATTTATTATATAACAGTGTAGCATCCCTGTGTGCTCTAGAAATGACAGTTTCTTTTAGAGTCATAGAATGGTTTTTAAAGGGACCTTTTAAAGGTCATCTAGTCCAACCCCCCTGCAATGAACAGGGACATCTTGAACTACACCAGGGTGCTCAGAGGTCTGTCCAACAGAATAAATGTTTCCAGGGATGAGGCATCCACCACCTCCCTGGGCAGCCTGTTCCAGCATTTCACCACCCTCATCACAGAAAATGTTGTCCAGATGTCTAGTCTTTTTTAATTTAAAATTACTGCCTTTTTCCTATTGCTACAGGCCCTGCTAAAGTCTGTCCCTGTCTTCAATACCTAAAGTATTGAAAGGCTGCAGTAAAGTGTCCCTGGAGCCTTCTCTAGCCTGAACAAGCCAAATCCTCAGCCTGTCTTCACAGGAGAGATGCTCCAGCCCTCTGATCATCTTTATGACCCTGCTCTGGACCCAATCCAACAGGTCCACATCTTTCCTGTACTGTGGACCCCATAACTGGATGCAGTACTCCAGGTGGGGCCTCAGCAGAGCAGAGTAGAGGGACAGAATCACCTCACAA